ATTTCACTCTTTTTTTTTTTTTTTTGATCACGTGTATTTGCTGCGCTGACCAACACCTGCACGTGTTTTTGCATCAAAAATTTTGGCAGCACTTAAGCCCTGAAATGACTGCAAAAATAATGATTTAAGCAATAAAGTCAGTCTGGTTAGTAATAAGTGAAGCTGCTGCGGCTGTTTGTGGAGTGGTTTATTCCTCCTCTGCTGAGGTCTTGAGAGATGTAATGTGCTTTATTTCAGTTGATTTCATCTAAAGGCCCGTTCACACGGGATACAAAAGTATCGGTATCGGGCGAGTACTGGAAAAAGTGGTATCGGTGCATGCCTACTTAAGGCTGTGGCTGAAGTCAGTTGTAGTTATTGTGTTTCTCTTTTCTTCAGTGATTCTGCTTGTTAACAGCAGCTGTTCATCACTAATGCTCAATCAGCACTTAATTAATCACTTAATTATCTCATTAACTTTAACTCTACTTCAGTGTTACTTTAAGGCCCTGTCCACACGAATGTGGGTATTTTATAAACCATAGCTTTTTCTACGCGGTTTAGCCGTTCGTCCACACGCAAACGCAGCACCAGGTAACTGAAATGAACATTTTTGAAAACTCCTGCCAGGGTGAAGATTTTCAAAAACTCCGGTTGCAGTGTTATCGTGTAGACTGGGAGTTTTTGGCTTGTGACGTCGGAGCCTGCGCTGTTATCTCCGCCTATTGGAAACTTTTTCAGGATTCTGATTGGCCAACATGGCTTTACCATGGCTATGCCACCTGTTGGTTTGGCATGCCCTTGACAGTGGTTCATAGCATGCATTTGCGTTTTCATGTGGAGGAAATTTTTTTTTAAAACGGAAGAAGGAAAAACTTCCCATGTACGTGTGGACATGGCCTAATACTCTATAGATTGGGACAATATGTACTCTGAGCCGAGTTGATTTAACTCTGGGGATTTTGCTGTGAAAAGCTGTTTGAAATAATGCATTTTAATAGAACAAATATTGTGAATGCTCCAAAAATGGTCCCCATTAATTTTTGTTGCTATTTTGAACTGGTTTAAGACACTCAAACGCATACTCAAAAATTTAGTAGGTTATAATTTTCATGTTAAATTTAAATCTGTAAATTTAGTAGGGAAATAATTTTCATGTTGCTAACTGCTTGAGTATGAAGCAGTGTTTCTTGACCCCCGCAGTTTTGAAAAGACAGCAATCGACCCCCGCACTTTTGATAAGGGAAAATTATGGCGTAATTTTACTGACAAATGTCGAGCGTATTGTTGTAGCGTGAAAGTACATTAATATGATGCGCGAGTGCAAATCTCTCCATTCACACATGGATTTCCTTTGCTCTCGCACTAAAGCCTCTGTTATAGGCTACTTTCCGAGTGTGCGAGAGCCCGCTAAGGTTCGCGTGACGTAAAAATCGTCATTGGAGGGTGTACGTGGAGGCTCAGAGCAGATATCCGCGTGCCTCCCATTTTTTTGTGACCGTGCGGACAAGTTATATGAGTGATGTGTAATGGGCTGATATACGCTGCTCTCGCCCAGAGGGTGTGCGCGCACTTAAAACGGGCCCGTGACAATCACAAATCTCTCCTCTCGCTCGAAGTGTGCACGCTCAAACTGCGTCCTGTGCACTCGCAAATCTCTCCATGCTCTTGCTATAGAAATTAATTATTTTCGCACCTGGACTAAACGTTGTCAAAAGTTATCAACCTATCAGACTTCCAAGACGGACTGATGAAAATGCTACGTGAAATCTAATTGGCTGAGAGGGAACTGCACCTGGAACTCTTTTGACAATCAAAGATGGATCTGCAATTTCATTACAATTCAATAATATTTAGTCATATTAATCAAATGTATATTAGAAATGGCTGGGATTGGGGTGCTTGCAGGATTTCTACAAATAAATAACCTAGTCTGTCTAACTGGTTGGTCAAACCCCTCTGAGCGATTTATCTAAAAACAACATAGGCTATTATAGCCTGTATGGCTTTTAAGGCTGCATTTAAAAGATCAATGTTATGTCATATTTTGTCCGATACCTCAACTGATTTTAAAATCAGTGCGATGAATTCTCAATCTTTACAATGATGCCAATCATAAGTAACAATTATAAAGTTTACTATCAAATCAACATCAAATGCTAAATGGAAATGATGCACAAGATATAACACGATAAATGCTGTGATATAATTGCTGTTTGGACATTTATTGGGAGTTTTTCAGTTCTGATTTTACAGTAGTTCGAATTTTTTATTTTTTTTTGAAAACCCACTTCATATCAGCTACACATTCAGTGGCACTCTCCTCTATGACAGTGACTATACACATGCCAGTAACAGATAACTAAATTGTCTGCAAATTCATTAAACCCATAGAATATAATGATATGACAAATATTCATTATGGTTGTATATTTTATCTCCACATTTTAATTATTTAGAGAATAGTGCATCTGACCCTGATCTAAATAGTTCTGTCTTAAATCAGAATATGTTCGAGTATTTTCTATTAATTGTTTTAGTTCAAGAGGGATGACTCTACACAAAGTATTATATTCGCTAAAGGAACTTTTATCGCAAATTTCTCCATGAATGCGTTATACTGAATTAACTGACCATCTTCATCTATCAAATCGACAACATTAACTTTTTTCTCAAACCATTCTCGTTTAAATAGCGTCTTCCCGTTTATTGTAATAATTCTATTATTCCACAAGGTGGCTCCATGTGGTGTAAAGTTGTGGGTAAATATCATTTTCCAGTACTGCAATATCTGTTTGTGGAAATTTGAAAGCCTAACAGGCAACTTAGAAATCTAAAAATCACATTTAAACAAAAATTCTAACCCACCAACTCTTTTAAATATAGCCTTTGGTATAGACCAATTTGGAGCAGACGTCACATTTGCATCACTTGCAGCTGTGCGTGTGTTGTGGCGGCAGAGAAACACTTGGAGCAAGTGAAGGGAAATGAGTAAAATCCATGGAATAAGAGAAAAACCGTTCTGTTGTTCTTTTGGATGTCCGAATCGGAATGCAAATCATTTTTATAGAATAGTGTCATCAAAGACGCCATTTGAAGCTAAACGCAGACGTTTAAACGGACAGACTATGGATGAAACCTGCTATGATTACCCTACTTTTAAAGCATAAATTTTCAAGAGGGATGACTCTACACAAAGTATTATATTCGCTAAAGGAACGTTTTATCGCAAATTTCTCCATGAATGCGTTATACTGAATTAACTGACCATCTTCATCTATCAAATCGACAACATGAACTTTTTTCTCAAACCATTCTCGTTTAAATAGCGTCTTCCCGTTTATTGTAATAATTCTATTATTCCACAAGGTGGCTCCATGTGGTGTAAAGTTGTGGGTAAATATCATTTTCCAGTACTGCAATATCTGTTTGTGGAAATTTGAAAGCCTAACAGGCAACTTAGAAATCTAAAAATCACATTTAAACAAAAATTCTAACCCACCAACTCTTTTAAATATAGCCTTTGGTATAGACCAATTTGGAGCAGACGTCACATTTGCATCACTTGCAGCTGTGCGTGTGTTGTGGCGGCAGAGAAACACTTGGAGCAAGTGAAGGGAAATGAGTAAAATCCATGGAATAAGAGAAAAACCGTTCTGTTGTTCTTTTGGATGTCCGAATCGGAATGCAAATCATTTTTATAGAATAGTGTCATCAAAGACGCCATTTGAAGCTAAACGCAGACGTTTAAACGGACAGACTATGGATGAAACCTGCTATGATTACCCTACTTTTAAAGCATAAATTTGATTTAAACAATAGGTCTATATAATATTCACATAGGGGATGTATTGTATTAGCCCTACAGTTAAAGCATGAAATACTATTCAAACCTATAACATTTTATATAACATTACATCACACTCTGACTTTTTTTTCCTCGCAAATGCAAGTTTATATCTCCTAGTTCAAACTTTATAACTTAATTCAACTCAACAATCTCGAGCTTGTCCATTCTGAGGAAGAAAAAAAAATGCAGAAGTATGGGATTATAAACTCATGATTCTGAGCCGAGGGGAAAAGAGAGAATGACGAGTTGATTTTTCTTACCATAATTGTGAGATACAATCTCAGAATTGCAAGAGAAAAGTCTGAATTTTGAAATATAAACTCAAAATTACCTTTTTTATTATTTTATTTCATAGCTTGCATAGACTGCTATGTTAAAACTGGCATTTTCTGCCACCAAATAGGCTCCGCCCACAAAAATGTCATCACTGTTTGCAAACACTGAAATTGGTCTATATGAAACCAAACTGAATAAATACGATCAAATAAGATTTAATCCTGATCAATGATCAGGCAAGTTTAATAAAAGATGGTGGTCCGGCGGTGAGCCTGAAGTGGTGGTACTATATCTGGAAATCTGATCTTACTATGTCTATATGAAACCAAACTGAATAAATATGATCAAATAAGATTTAATCCTGATCAATGATCAGGCAAGTTTAATAAAAGATGGTGGTCCGACGGTGAGCCTGAAGTGGTGGTACTATATCTGGAAATCTGATCTTACTATCTCGGCTTTTGCTGTTTGGTCCCCCAACTTTGAAAATGTCTCCTGCGCCCCTGTCTAATGTTCATGTTTTGAAGCTCACTGTAGTACTGCATGTTTAGTACAATTTTCACTTTCTTATTTTTCATTTAGAGTTTAAAATTTAAATACTTCTCCTGTAGATCCTCCAGTGAATCCTGTGATCTCTGTCAGTCCATCCGGTGTAATAGTGGAGGGAGATTCAGTGACTCTGAGCTGCAGCAGTGATTCATACCCTCCTGCAGAAATCAGATGGTTTAAAGGAGGAACATATCTGAATTATGGAGAGACATACAGCATCTCAAACATCAGCTCTGATCACAGTGGAGAATACAAGTGCAAGTCCAGAAATGAACATGGAGAGAAATACTCTGCTGCTGTGACTTTACACGTCATGTGTGAGTTAATGATCATCTGCACATTGTTAACATCCACTGTGACTTTAAACGTCATGTGTGAGTTAATGATCATCTGCACATTGTTAACATCCAAATTAATAATTTTCTAATATTTTTTTGTGAATTAAAATTTGTATCTATTTTAGACGCACCCAGGAGCGTCTCAGTGTTCATAACTGGATCTGGAGAAATATTGGAGGGAGATTCAGTGACTCTGATCTGCAGCAGTGATTCAAACCCTCCTGCTCTGAACTTCAGCTGGTTTAAGGAGAATCAAAGCTCAGCTGTTGGATCTGGACAGAGTTTCAGTGCACTACAGAGTGGACGCTTCTACTGTGAGGCTCACAATCAACATGTATTTTTTTGTGAATTAATATTTGTATCTATTTTAGACGCACCCAGGAGCGTCTCAGTGTCCATAACTGGATCTGCTGAAATATTGGAGGGAGATTCAGTGACTCTGAGCTGCAGCAGTGATTCAAAGCCTCCTGCTCTGAACTTCAGCTGGTTTAAGGAGAATCAAAGCTCAGCTGTTGGATCTGGACAGAGTTTCAGCATCTCCAGCTTTAACTCCAGTCACAGTGGACGCTACTATTGTGAGGCTCAGTTGATTGTGAGGCTCACAATCAACATGGATCTCAGATATCAGCGGCATTATCAGTGACCGGTGAAGGTTTTATTTTATAAAGGTTCTAGACAGTTGTAGCTTTGAGAGTCAATCTTGACTCATATTCTTCATCTTTCAGTGCTTCATGGTCTGCGTTGGCATGTCTGGTTGGGAATCACAGTGGCATTTGTAGGATTATTCATCATTATCATCATCGTTGTGTTCATAATGTAAGTTTGATTTTCAATTTCTGTGCACATTGCCCCATGTGATTATTAGTAATGAATCTTTAAAACATAACTTGCAATTTTAATGTCTTTAAAAGCAGGAGAAAACGAAGAGGTGCAAAAGCTGAAGAAGCCACAGTAAAACAGGTGAATCATCCAGACATGACGGGAAATATTTATCATGTACTTTAAGTCAGATTTCATGTGAATAATAATTAATTTTCTTTCATTTCAGGATAATCTGTACTCTAACGTAACTGAGATGGACGCTTACGTGTCTGAATCAGCCATTTGTGATGCCGCTCCATATGCCAGCATTTCATCCAGCAAACCCAGAAGAGATGGAGACAGAGATGCTGAGGAGATCCAGTATGCCACTGTCCAACATCACAAAAACAAACCGATGAAGAGAGCAAAGGAGAGCGAAAACCAGTACGACAATCTCAGGATTCACCAGCCTGCTGCTGCCGTGAGGTGCAAAAATAAAACTTCTGTCATCATCTACTCACTGTCATGATTATGATGAAAGGAGAAGTTGTATAGTTCTTTCAATTTGGACCTTTTGCTTAATAATGCTAAATCAGAAACCTGACATACAAGGTGGCTGCATTTTTAAAATGACTTCATCATCATGTAATGTGATGATGCATAATATCATGTTTCTTTTTTTTTTCTTCATTTCTTTTTGTTCCAGGCGATTGGATGTGGAGACTGTGGAAGAGGTCTCTGTGATCTACAGCCACGTCAGATGAATGACAGACCGTCATGAAGCCTGTGTTCATCTCGGCTGCTGGGAAAAGCAAAAGCCAAACATATTTGCTGAATATGAACAAATATGAATTAATGTCCTTGAATGTCCTTTGGCTGTTTAATTTAGCATGCAGTTTAACAAAATGTATGGCATATTATTCATTAAATCAGGTGAACAGATGAGCTGAAAAAAAAAAAAGATGCTTTGATGTGGGAATGTGTTTGTTAAAGATGAAATTATTCAAGTTTTGTGACCACATAAATGAACGTAGCAATTTCACCAAACTCAAGCTTCAGTTGTTCATGATTTCAGTTCTTTAAATCTTTATTTACTTCTGTTGAAGCCTTGGTAGTCAATTCCAGGTCATTGTGGAGCTAAACTCAAAACAGTATACCTAGTTGGAGTCATTGTTTTATGAGATGCACTAGCGTAAAAATAATGTACCATATGTGATTGCTGGGTTACTATTAGTATTCAGTTAATATTGGGTATTTCACAACAAAATCATTTATGTCTACATAATTATATATAAACTGGAAAATGCTCACAACAGTGGATACAAATAGAGTTTTGATCACTGGTGCGTCAAAGTGGCCGATGATGATTATTTGTAGTGAAACTGTGTGAGTGTGTTAAGAAAAGTTTGAAATCATTCAGTTTGACTAAACAAGTTTTAAGCTGCGGAGCCCTGTTATGTTAGACATAACAAGTATTAAAAATCATATTTCAGTGTTTTTGTGTTCACTAAAAAAAAATTGAATTCCCTGAGCAACTTTTGTGAGCAAATGCAAGAGCATTGAAATATAATTGTTCCCTTCCATCTCATGCTTTTTCCATCTAGGGGCAACGGCAGCTGAGAAATAATGTTGATATATATATTTTTTGTTTATATATATGTATACTGTAGGCAAATCTCGCAAGTAGGTTCAAAAATAACTTCTCTGTCTGTGGTCAAAGTGACGACAACCAGTCTTATGCAACATATGTCTCAAAATTCAGAAATTTTTCCAGGAAGACACGGCGGCCAGTATGAAAACCGAGTTTTATTTTTGATATAAACCTGATCATCTCTCCAATCCTAATATGTGTAAAAGCAAGTGAAACTAGAAAGTCCTACCACAGTAAGAGAGAAAAGAAATATGTCATTTACTGATCAGTCAGAGTGATGGACAACAACAACAATAAAATATGTCATCTTCATTTCCAACTGTTTAAGAATATTGGGTTTAATTTTCAATAAATGCCATTGGATCATGATGGAAAGCTGTTTAAAGTTGCGTGTGTGGGCAGCACCCAAAAAAAGAGGAAGAAATATATCTGTCTGCAGGGATATTTTAAAACAAACCGTGTGAACTCAGTTTAACGGCTGCTGGAGATCAGACTCAGCAGAACACGGTAAGAGTTACTCTGATTAACATGTGTATATAGTCTGATTAATACTGTTGTAGAAACCACTAATGTACTCGATATGAGATATTCTCATTGAAAACTGCTTTATAGAGATGTTTTTGAAGCTAAAGACTGTTTTTCTCATGAGGTGTGTGTTATATTGGTCTTGTAGTGACGTCAGTCAGAATGGCTCCTCCTCTTCCTCTGGTGATTCTGTTCGTGATTCACAGTGAGTCAGTCCTATTGGAAAATTAATATTCTGTTATTGGTAATGAAATAAACTTGTTCTTTGTGACTTTCTTTAACTGGTGGTCTGCAAATCATTGGACTCCCTGTTAAATGTTTCATAAACTTGTTTTGTATTAATCAAAAATACATTATCAAGTAAAGTTCAGTCAGTTCAAAAAACTAAAGTTTACCTAAACTCCCACATTAGAGCATAACATGTTGAATTAAAATTAATGTATTTTATGACAGCCTTAAAGTTTGAGACAACTTGGAATTTGTGAAAAAAAGATTCATTTTGGGTAAACAATTCCTTTAATGTGTGTTCCAGGTGTTTATGGCCAGTATGGTTGGGGTGTGAGTTACAGTCATTCACACATCTGTGCACTGAAGGGGTCAACAGTGACAATGAGCTGCACTTTTACATACCCTACTGGATATCAGATCATAACAGCATTTTGGACCAAAACACAAGTTAAAGAGAAACATGAAGAGTTTCGAGATCTGTCTGAGGAGCCTGAAACTAAATGCAACCTTGGATATCACACGCACACACATACAGGTACTTTAGAATTGTAATATTTATTTGGTTCTGCACTTTTTCTTTTCACAGAATTACAATCGTATTGACTGAAATGTGAAGAAGGTTTTTGCACAGTGGTGGCCACTAGCGGAGTGAACTGTGAACAGCGATAAGGTATAGCTAAGAGTGGTCCAGACTAACCTTACGAACGAATGACTTACAGAAGCTATACTTAACTAAGAACGTTTCGGGAAACACGTATTAACGTAAAGGTACAACTTAAGGTATAACTTACGAACGACATAGCGTTAAGAAGGTTTCGAGAAACGCAGCCCAGAACACAGCTAAAAACATTTTAGATTAATTGATACAGAGTCAGTGTGAGTGAATCATGATCAGGCAACCCATGTACATGTATACAGTATCAGTATTCATGCAAAAGCTTCAGCTCAGATTTTTCCTTGACACTTAGAGACCTTCGTTGTTAAAGTGATGATTAAAAATAATATTTAAATACTTCTCCTGTAGATCCTCCAGTGAATCCTGTGATCTCCATCAGTCCATCTGCTGAAATAGTGGAGGGAGATTCAGTGACTCTGATCTGCAGCAGTGATTCAAATCCTCCTGCAGAAATCAGATGGTTTAAAGGAGGAAAATATCTGAATTATGGACAGACATACAGCATCTCAAACATCAGCTCTGATCACAGTGGAGAATACAAGTGCAAGTCCAGAAATGAACATGGAGAGAAATACTCTGATGCTGTGACTTTAAACGTCATGTGTGAGTTAATCATGGCTCAGTAACTTTGACATTAAATCCTACAAACATAGTCTATGATGTCAAATTTATTGTGGTATGTAATGACATCAATGTTTTTTTCTGTGTTAGATCCTCCAAAGAGCGTTTCAGTCTTTATCAGTCCATCTGGTGAAATATTGGAGGGAGATTCAGTGACTCTGATCTGCAGCAGTGATTCAAACCCTCCTGCTCTGAACTTCAGCTGGTTTAAGGAGAATCAAAGCTCAGCTGTTGGATCTGGACAGAGTTTCAGTGCACTACAGAGTGGACGCTTCTACTGTGAGGCTCACAATCAACATGGATCTCAGAGATCAGATGCTGTTACTGTCACAGGTGAAGCTTTTATTAACACACTCCTGTATCTTCACATCATTCATCAGTTTGTTAATTATGATGATCTTCATCCTTCAGTTCATCCTGGTGCTGGTAGGAACGTGATTGTGATCGCAGCAACATCTGGAGGATTATTCATCATCATTATCTTCATCATCATAATCATCATTTTGTTTGCAATGCGAGTTAAATTGAAAAAAAACAAAAACTGCAGAGATTATATATTTTCACTTTTGTTCTGATGTATTAGAAATGGCTCATGCATTTTTGATTATTAGTAATCCTTAAGAACAGCATTCATATTTTTTCTCTGTACATTCTTTCATATGCTGTTCATCATCATCATCATCATTATAATATTCATAATGTAAAAAAAAAATAAACAAGAGTATATAAACATCATTTACTTTCAAACGAATGAATAAAATATATTTGACTATTAATTATATATGAAAAAATTAAATACTTGTGTTTCCTTTTTTGACAGGAAAAGGATAAAGAGAAGATCTACAATTCACGGGTATGAGGTGAGATGCTCAAAGAACCACAGCATAAAATCAATAAAAGAATAAAATTAGTTTTTTTTCTACAGATACTGTATATATATATATATATATATATATATATTCTCCCTCTTTTCCTGTAGAATGATGATCCCAGTGTAAGCACATATACGGCTCTAGACCTCAAGTCCAGATCTACTGGCGTATACGACACACTCACAGTAAGTGAAATATCAAAAATACATCTGCAAAAGAGTTTTTGCTGTCAAAAGCGAGTTAATTTTTCAAATAATCAATGTATTTTCCACGTAGTCTGTGCATCCCACACCTGCTGTTCACCAGTCGGGATCTTCTGAATATGAGAATCAGTCTGTAAGTGTGAGATCCACAGGTCTTCTCAATATAATCAATAAAGATATAAAATATCCTCACTAGTCAATAGATACACTGTTACACAGTCTTTTCTTTCTGTTACAATATGGATTATATGAGTTGTTGCATTGACAGGAATCAAAAAAAAAGTGAACTCAGATTATTTGTACCATTGTTTTATTATTAATGTGCTTTTTAAAATATGGTTGCAGACCCATGTAAATGTGTTTTCCTTGTCTTTTTTTTCTGTTGTAAACACATAGCAAGACACAGCAGCAAGCACAAGTTAATCTTCACTCCACTTTGGACGCTGGACAAGCCCACATCGAGACATTCGATGAAAACACCTCTTTAGAGTCTTCATTCTCTAGTGAAGTGATGTTTCTCAAAGGTCCTGTAGAAAGTAATGAATTGTGTTCATGTGTGAAATAAATAAAAAGTCAGAGTGTAATTAATAAATGTGTTCACACTGAGAGTTGTTTTAATAGATATCTACAGTATGCCTGTCATGTGCTATGTTATTTACTGCTGTTATATTACTGCTCTGGGTGTGTGTTCACGGTGTGTGTGTGTTCACTGCTGTGTGTGTGCACTTTGGATGGGTTAAATGCAGAGTACTAATTCCGAGTATGGGTCACCATACTTGGCCACATGTCACATCACATCACATCACATCACATCACATCACATCACATCACATCACATCACATCACATCACATCAAAACAATAAACGGTAAAGAGAGTGTAGTTTAGCCCCTGCTGGGATCTGCGCGCTCGTAGCCTATATCAAAAAGTTTAAAATGGCAAGGCGCATGGAAACCTTTATCAGTATAAAAAACCTTTATCAGTCTCTCTTACACAGTCTGGAAGTGGTTGTAATTAAAATAAACGAGTGTACGTCATGAGCGGGACCAAGAGGTGGACCAAGTGAAAAAGGATCCAGTTCTCTTTTTGTTCACACTATCACAGCTCCTGAAAGAGGACTCGGATTCCTTTGTTCTTCCACTTCAGCAGTAATGGAGTCTCAGACCTCTTTGTGTTCAT